CTCCGAAGTAACTGAATTCTGGCCCGTACTTTCCATGCTAGCTCCGTCCCAAGGCCTATCCTGGCAGAGAACCAGACTGAATCCTATCGTCTAACTCGAATTCCTGCTTTGTGGATCTGCTGCTGACTTTAAAACACAGCTCAGTTAGTCTGAATCCACAGATATATCTCCATTAAAGGAATGTTATTTGCCTGTCATTCTGCAGTTACCTTGAGCATGTTATTCCATAATTGTATCAACCATGTCCAAGGTGAACTCTGCGCAAGTAGCTCAGTTAGATCACTGATTCTTGCAGCTGGAATATTGGTAAAGCTGTTACCACAAAGATTCAATTCCACCAAAGATGATAAGTACCCAAGATTACATAGGGTGCCTCCAGCCTCTGTAGATATTGCAGCGACTAGTATCAAGCATTGTCAATGAACAAAGACTCGATAAATTAGACCCGTGGAGTTTTGACCTTTTCCTGGAAGCCAAAAGGAGAAGAATGAGCTGTTTACTTGTAAACCCAAAGCATTATATCCACGAAAAGACAAGTGTTCGGATGGCTGTGCCATCACAGTGGAGCTCCTCTAAGCCCGTTAAAAGTCCCACATCATCTGATATTTTTTCGAGTCTTGAGCACCCGAATAGAGCAAGTGTTCTTAAGACACTTCAATCTAAAAATACTGCTTGAGAGATTCTCAAGATATTTGCAGTAACTAAGATTTATCAAACATTCAAACTAACCCCTGGAAGGTTCTCAAGTGATGAACGCACCTCTCCCAAAGAAGCTCCATCCAAGTACACTTTCGAAAAAACGATTCATTTCTTCTATTTTTTTCAGGAACTTTTCGAGTTTTAAGCAGGCTGATAGAATTAAAACCTTAACACTTTCAAGATTACTGGTACCTGAAAAATCCGGGGTCCTTGCTAGCTTCTGTGATTGGCTAAGGTTGATGAAACAAATCAACCTTACTAGAACCTGTCATAATGAAACAAATCAAACAGCAAGAAAGCAAAATAGCCGGATAATTAGTACTCCGACCATATATAAACGTTGGAGCCTTGCCAAAGTTGTGTAATTCAGCTATCTTTCAACTTCAAACCAACAAGCTTTTCTCCCCTGAAAACTAACAGACAGACTTCTTGATGGACATCCAACTCAACTCACCATGAAGAAAATCAGGACCCTGACGAACATTTGCATTTTGGATACTGAGAAACTGCACTACAAGTTCAGTCACATGCCTTCGATCTTTTCAACGCCCTGATTATTAAGAAAGAATGAACAGGCAAAAAGGAAAAATGGAGAAACAAGTATGACTATGGATATTTATAAAGTTACATCATACATCAGCTGCTGCTTGAACTAATAACTAGTTAGAAATTAATCATTTGTGCACTATGTTGCTCGGACTCTCCAAAGTTGATGCCGCACACGTGTTGGATCCTACGAAAATGCACTACTTTTGGAGGATCCAACATGCACCCCCGCCATTCTTAAAGAGTCTGAGCAACATAGTTTGTGCAAACACTTGTCAAATCTCCTCCAAGTACATGAAAGACATTCCCAGGCATCCACAACCTACTATATCTTCTTTAATCATCCAAAGCATCTTGTCGAGTAATATACCAACCGATTTGTGTAACCATAATCAGAGATTTCTCCATGAGAACCTTTATGCCAATAACAGGACTAAAATTAAAACTCTCTAATATTCTTATCACTGATTATTCTTTCTTCTTCCCCTTAAAGAAACACACAATATCTAGTAATATGGCTTTTGTTAACTGACAAAAACGATGTTTATACTCAACAGGTGTGGTACATAACCAAAGAGCATAAAGACTAAGTCTTGAAACTGAAAGAAGCCTTATAGGAATTAAAGCATCTTCAAGACCATGGATTTCAACTTTTACCATTTATACACATAAGAACACTTTTTGATAAAGAAGATGGAAATGGAGGTATTTCCTTCATTTCATAATATATAATTGATGAGAGGGTGAATTCTTTTCCGAAGGATTTAACCGTTCCCGTCCTTTGGTCATGTTGTCTCCTATAGAGATAGATTGATATGGGTTTTCTACTTCTTATAACCTATCCATTTCTACTCAACTGTTCAACGAGCGCTATAATGATCCAAGGGAATATCTCCTGGCTCAACATTAGTCAACATTGTGTGGTGTCACATACCATGTAGACGACAACCACAACTATCAATAGTTTAAATATATATGTTCAAATGAATTTCACCCAAGGATGTGCCTATTAATAGTGGTCAATAAAGTGAGGAGAACTACGAGATCTCAAGTTCATACCTTAGTGGAGGCAAGGTGTTTTGTTCTCATTTGTTAAGCCTTGGCAGACAAAATTACCCGATGGGCTAGTACATATGTTGTGGAGGTATCAGGTACCCAGTGAAATGATCGAGGTGTGCGCAAACCCTAACGTCACCGTTATTAAAAAACATTTAGTGAATTCAAGCAAGTGATGGCATGAAACTAACAGTAATCACATATCTTCTAATATCTTAGCATTGGAGCAAAGCAATATGTTGATGGCATTCATCTCAAGGAGTTTATACAAGCTACATACAAGAAAACTTTAAAGCAGAATAGCAAGTCAATGAATCGCACTAGCAACAGTATATGATCGCAAGAGTACCACTGGCTACTATTTCATGGAAGACACAACAACAGTATATCATCGATACAATATTCTACGTAATCTGGAAGCATCAAGAAGAAAGAAGTAGAACTCACTTGTATCAAGACTATGATCACTTCACTTCACTAACATATTTACCAAGGCATTAAAGTATGAGGGCAAGATTTAGTTGGTTCATATATTTTTTCGGGTTCTTAGTTCCCCTTCTCCATTTACCACTATCAACTGTTAACACCATCCATTAAACAGCCAAAGCAGACTTCAATTACCAAAACAAACAATCTAAATCCACCAAGACAAAAATGAAAGTTACAGTTCTTAATGCTATATTTGTTCAATCAAAACCAAATCCCCAAATTTTGATTAGTCAATTAGATCTATCTGGACAAAGGAATCACTAAGAAATGCATGTGAAAAACAAACGACAAAACCGAAAAAGAAGTGAAAACCAAACCAAAAAAAAAACTAACATAGTTGATTTGAGTTCATATTTATGGAAACTGAATCAGATCGAACCATGAACATCCTTAGACACGAGAAATGATAACCATGTTATTTCTTCGGGAGGAAAGCTATTATTCCATGAATGAAGTAACCAAATCGATCCAAGGTCCTATTTCATTCGAAGATGCATCGAGAAGAAAAAATTCAAACTCATTTATATCAAGACTTTGATCAAGTAAGTCATATATTTTCTATGGCCACAATGAGTTATGACGACTTTGCAAGATTTCGTCTTTTGATGGAGTCCCAAGCTAAGACGGAAGTTTAACAAATGAAGTTGATAAATTTAATTAGTACTTTACATTCTCGGTTCATTGGAGCAAATCAAGCAAGAAGAGGAAATATCAACTCTACATATGTGTTCTTCCTTCTAACTTCTCTTTTTTACCATTTTCCCTCCGCCATATTTTTAGGGAGAGCTGGACTTTATGTATCGTAGTGTACTAGTTTGATTGTTCAAAGCCATTATATAGGTCTTTTAAGTCTTTTGCAGGATTACACTTACTTAAGAGTACATAAGAACTTGGATGATTGATGGAAGAAAGTACTCGACTCATCGATATGTCAAAGGTGATTAATTTAATTATAGACTATTGATTTTCTCCATCTGAAAATTTCGAACTTGTTGGCAAATGGCAACACTGAATGGGTGAATCAAATGAGTCCTACTGGTTTTGTATTTCTTATGGAAGACGCGACATTTACTTTGTGTTCAAAAAAGAAACCTCTGCAACTGTTTCTACTTTCGAAGATAATAATGTCACATTAGCCTCATTCATAGTGCAATTTGAGTTCAGAAATTGTTGGAGATGCTACATACATGTCACAACAGATCGAAACCTACCGTATTTATGTAGACAATAACTCTACTATTGGTTTGGGCAAAACCTATATTATATGAATGAAAGTATAAGCACATCACTGCAATATTCCATTTCATTTGAAAGCATCAAGAAGAAGGAAAGTAGAACTCACTTATATAAAGACTATAATCGGCAGAAGTATGAAGACTATACGGATGCATCTATTTAGCAGCAGGTTCATCTGCACATAGTACTTCCAATGCGGAACATAAATTTATGTGAAAAATTCACTGAAATTGCAATAAATAGTAAAAATTACAAAGGGTTCAATGCTAAAAATCTTGAAGGCTGAACCTAGAAAGCTTAAATCCTGAATCTTTCTCCACATCTACTCCAACAATTTCTTTTCTATGCAAAATGCTACTAGGTCCTCGCGAAGTCTCACTATGTAACATATCCCTCGATTTATTAGTAGAGATAAACATCTTTACTGCCTCAAGTTACAGTAACATATCTCTATGGTATCACTAATTCCACCAAAAACAAATATAGACTCAACTAAATCCCCAAATCTTGACTACTCAAATAGATCTGTTTGAAACAAAAGTTATCACTTCAAACTCAATCACCCAATTTCGAAAGACACAAACTTGAAACTATATTGTAGCCACACTGATAACATTAAGAATTATATGCTAAAGTTAGCAGCTTTGTATACACCCAAAACCTATATGCTCAAACTCTTCAAAAATGTCAACGAGTGCGTGTCAGACATCACTTTTAGGGGATTCGACACGAGTGCAGTAACATTTTTAGAAATTCCAAGCTATATAGCCCAAAACACAACATAACCATTACAATTAAAACCTAAACCACAAGGTCCTAATAGGGAACTGTCTTTTTATTGAGAAAAAATAACAACTTTAAAAAATTTATCAAATATAAAAGCTCACAATTTGAAGAAACTCCTAACCTGTAAGAGGAACTTTTTCAACTTCCATTAATAGCAATATTCAAAGTTCTATTCTTTACTAATTTTTCTTCCTTGCCCTCTGCAAAAGAACCAAAAAAACATATATAATTACTTCATAATATTGAAAAGAAATTAGCTCATCGAAACCTACATAAAATATAACATGATCTCACATATAAAAATAAACAAATCCTTAGCATTTCAATAAACAAATCAACTTACAACACAGATTTCATGTCATCCTATATCCTAGTGTCGGTGTTGGTGGCGGCACCAGAATTTTCACTAAGAAGTTCAAAATATAAAAAAGTAAACATGCAAAGAAGTTAAAAGGTTTCAATATCTATTATTATATATATATATACATATAAAAGATAATTTCGATAACATATATAAATAGTATAATTTTCAGCCAAAGAAGATTCGGATATACCCCTTTTCCCTACTTGACTCCACTACTAATGAGACTCTAGAAAAGATAGATGCAGGCAAATCTCACCCTATGACCTTTGTATAGTAGTATAGAGATTGTTTTCGATACGCCCTCCATTCATAGTACCAAATTAATTCTCAAAATACAAATAAAAATATGAAATTTTGCAGTTTTTTTTGTTAAAATGAGAACAGTAAACAGGGTTACCTTACAAGTCCACAAAACCTAAAAACTGGAAACTTTACTTTTCTTGATCTGCTGCTGCTAGATATTTTCCAACAATAAAAAAAACGACTAGAATAATAAAGTTTTAAACTTTGTAAAAGATAATATCAATACAGAAATCTCAAAAAAAAATAAAAAATTGGTTCAATAGTCAATGTGAATTTTTTTTTCTGGTCAGTGTCATGTCTATGTCTAGGGTGCTATAAAAGAGAGAATTCCTTTTTGCTACCTAAATTCATTGTATCCATCTTTTTCACATTTTTCTATAGTTCTGCGAGTTCAACTGAGCAAAAAGTTCAATATATATATATATATATATAATCACATGGATTATGAAATCACTAACCTATAGATCTTCAATTGAGAGATTTATATCATACCGATATCGAGATAAATTTTGAATTTGATTCGAAATAATTATTCTCTATCTTTCTTCATATAGGAAGGAGTATGCTACTATATCTCTACTCTAGAAAACTATATAGATAATATTCAATGTTGTGCTTTTTGACCTTAACAAATTTTCACTAAGAGAATTCGATAATTAATATCAAATAAATTCCTTTCCACTCACTATTCCCAAAATTCACCCTAATAAAAAACAAAACTGATAAGTCTACCTGGCGGTACACCATAGGTTAGGCCAATCCGATCCTCTTCCACTAGGGTTTGACTCATTGCATTTCTCCCTTTTAATTAACACAATTGAAACCAAACAATCTCACAATACAATCTAAATCTAACTCACGTACCATTTGACCATTCCTAGAGAGATTGACAGAAAGAGAAGTGAGCACTCGCAAAATTATATATACAAATATATCAAGAAAATTAAGTAAAAATATTTATATAATTATATGTGTATGCTCACTCTCTTCTGTCAGTCCCTCTCTTCCATGGCCATTGAATTTCAGATCTCTCAAAGAGAAAAAAAAAAAAATCACTAAAATAACAACTATTTTGACTATGTTATATAAGTAAAAAAAAATGGTACTTTTGTACAATCTGAATTGTCAAATAGTAGTAGTATTTTATATAATGATGATGCACATTAACCCTACACATTTAAAGGTGCTGTTAAAATGTCATGTGGATAGTACAAATGCATCTTTTCACCACTTTGTTTAATTTTTGGTCCAAGACAAAGTACAAAACAAGTTCATTTAGCTGACGTTTATTGGAAATTAAATATGTGGGGACTCTTGTGGCCATTGATTGGTTGCTTTAAAGTTTTTGGGGTTACATGGTCAGGATCGTTTGGTCGAAAACAAGTTATCTCGAGTTTAATGAAATAAGATATTTCATATTGTATATGTGATAACTTATTCATTACTAAGGGATTATATTAGTTGGAATAAGTTATTTCGAAATTAATTATGTCGAGGGATAAGTTAATCATATGGGATAACTTATCATTACTATGATATGAATAGTGGGATAAATAATCCAATGACTATCTAATGCCTCCAACAAAACGTATGAATTAAGATAAAATAATCTTGTATTTTATCCTAGGATTATTATATTTTAGGCTTAAGTCATCTGCGGCCCCTTAAAGTTGTCTGTATAATTCATTTAGACATGTCAACTAGGAATAGTACCTATTGAACACCTAAATTATTCAAGACAAGTACCTATTAAACACAAAATGTTGATGTGGCAAAATAAGTGTATCTCACTGCTGCTGAGCGCGTGAATGCATTTTTTTTTATTTTTTAAAAATAAATTTGTACCTACTTTCTTGACACTTGGTATGCATTGACTAAATAAATAAAAAATTAATTTAATTAAGCATTAATCTTTTAAATCATTAAAAAAAAACTCACCCCCAAACCCATGTGCAAGTCATCTTCTTCTTCAACCCACCATTTTAAAAACTTCAAATTTCTCTGCCTTTTGTTTTGATTCATTTTTTTTTCTCATTTTCTGTAAACAAATTGCCTGTTGAATTTGCAAGAAGAAGAAAAAAAATCGACTGTTGGAGTTAAAAAGTTGACCAATATTTATGCATCTTTATTTTCAATAACTCCGATCGAGCAACCATCACCACTTATTAAAAATATTATAAATTTTTTTGATATGTCGATTTCGAAATAATTTATCGAGGTCGATTATTTTTACAAAAATCTTAATAGCCGCCGGAGGAATAGAATATAACGAATAAAAAGAAAGAGGAAAGGATTTGGTGGGTGAATTCGGGGATGAGGTGGGGCTAGACATTTTTTTTTGTTATCGCCGGAGGAATCAATGGTGAATGGCGATGGCGGAATGATAGAGAAGAAGATGAAGAAGAAAGGGCAATAGGTTAGGTGGGGGTGGGGGGAGAGATTTTTTTTTATCAATTTAATTATTTCTATATTATTAAAGGCAGGAAATTATTTTTTATTTTTCAAAATTAAAATTATGGGCCCATGTGTCGTAATTCTATTCGTGATTTTGTCAAGATAATGTGTGTGAATTACACGCACAATATTTTTAAAGCTAGTTGTCATTTTATGTTCAATAGATAAATATTTGTTAATATTAAAGTGTTTAATAGGTAAGAGTCTCAGTTGTGTCTAAATAAATTATGCGGACAACTTTAAGGGGCTATCGATGACTTAAACTTATATTTTATATCTCACGCCAAACAACTCATAAGGTATAAATAGTGAGATAAATAATCTTATGACTACCTAATACCTCTAATTAGTATGGAGGATAAAACAATCCTTCATTTTATCTCTGGGATTATTATCCAGTATACCTCACACCAAATAACTCTTTAGAGTTATGTATTATTCCTAGTAATGCTGAGATTAATTATAAAGTCATTTGTTTACTTATTATTCAATTTTATTTTATTTTTCATAAAATATTATATAGATTATCTCATAACTTATATGTAAATTAAGTATGCTAGTTTCTAATTAAATTGCAAACCAAATACATAAATAACTTATATCCTAAATAACTATCAGACATAATATTACTTATGCATAATTTAATACATGTATAACGTACCTTTATACCTCCAAATCAGCTCCCACATAACCCCTACTTGATATTCGAATTTGTAACGAAATTTGATTAGATTTAAATTTGTGTTGAAAGATCTTACCTAAAAAAATAAAATATTCTTTAATTAAGATAACTTTATATTCCCGCAGGACTCGAACGCGATAACTTTAATGTCCCTATGCATTATGAAAAGATGTCTTCTGAAGTTGGAAACCCTATCAACATGCTTGCGTTTACTTTTCAAAGAATAGTGACTACTAAAATGATCAGGTTAATCGCTTTAACCAATGTGCTTAAGTTAATCACTTCATCCAAAACAGTGATTAGACAAACTTAAGTAATCACTATATACTAATTAGTGGTTAGACTTAGCATCAATCAAGTGACTAGTCACTACTGTATATCTGAACATGTTCTAACTTTTTTATTGTTATGGCCCAAAAGTTTGTCTTTTTCTTTAAAAAAATGGTGTATAATTAAATTATCGTACTGCAAATTCAATTGTTCAAATTGAAACCCGTCAATCAAATTCAAAAAAATCAACATATATTAATACAGACAAAAGACACTCATAATCATGAATTCATGTATGATCCCAAAACACTAAAAACATGTTGTTTGTCAGGGGAAATATGGAACACCAGATCGTTTTTTATTGATCGATCAAATTTCAAGCCAATAAAAGTTTGTTGATCAAATTCACGAAAATCAACTAACATGTACTAATACAAAAAAAAAAAAATCAAATCATAAATTCGTGTTCATGACCCCACAATGTAGAAAAAACAATGTTTGTCATAGTAACTCAGTGAGTATTGGTCAGTAGGTCGTTTCCAATAAACCAATCAAATTTCACCTACGGGGATGAAATTGAAAAATATAAAGTTGAAATTGGGCTTACATTAAATTTCAAATAGCCCATGTTGTTTAAGTCTCTTTGGCCCATTTTATTTGGGCTAGTAAACATCATAGGACAAAAACTAAAGCTTTTTTTGTCAATTTCTCTCACTGTATTAATTTTCTTCCCTTAGCTTCCTCTTTTGGTTGTCAATGGCGTTGGAAGCATACGCATCACAAAATACTGATAAAATCCATACAGATGTTCTTTCACAAGCTCGAATTTCTTGTTACAAGGTATACTTATTCTCTATTTTTTGCATAATTTTTTGTTCTTTAAGGTCCAAAAATGTATATGTTGATCAATCTTGATTAGTGGCGGAGTTAAGATTTTGAGTTTATGGGTTCGTGATTCTAAAGTCCATAGATTAATGGGTTATTGATAATATTTGTAATGAACCAACAACCCTTCGCCGGAAAATTATATTGTTTAGCTAAGTTAAAGTTTAGTTCTTTTAGAAGCCTGTGATTGGTCCAAAGGGTAGCAGGTCACAGACAGATTTATCGGGTATCAAAAAAAATAAAGTAGTTCTTTTATATACATTATGTTGACACCCCCTTTGTAATATTTTTGGCTATGACCCTGATCTTGATAAAACTAATTGAAGCTATTAAATTGTTGTTTTTAAAAGGCAAGAGATGCATTTTATTCATGTTTGGAGAAAGAATCGAACAAGGAACCTACAGAAATCGCGACAGTTGGGCTTTTATACCCTGTTGAATGCAAGAAAACCAGGGAGGAATATGTGAAACAATGTAGACCTACTTGGGTAAGGTTATTAAAGCTTTAAATTTAACGGATATCGGTTCTTTTTTCTATATGGATTGTGGGATTTTAGCTTTTTTCTTGATGTATTGATGTTTATTCGTATCGGTTTTGGTATGCATAGGTTAAGCATTTTGATAGGCAGTATTGTGGTAAGAAGAGGGTTCAGAGACTTTTGGATGATAATGACTCAAGGGGAGGTGTGTTTTTACATCCTGAATTTTATACTTGCACTTATGTTCATGCTGATAGCCCCATGTGCTTATTGCTATATTTGATATAGACTATTGAGTTTTCCAAATGAGCTCAAATTGGTAAAGTTTGCATTTTTATAGTGAATGGGGAACTCCCATTTCACTTCTAACATTTGTTTAAGTTAGTATAAATCAATTTTTTCAAAGGTACGCTTAAAGGTTGTCATCAAGGATTTGAGACATACTTTTCCTTGCGAATGAGCGTAATCATGAAGAAGTGACTCTAACTAATTGATGTTTCCTTTTATCTTCATTTTTTCTTTTCAATTTAGTCTTGTACTACACATACATATTTGTATTTTCTTCCCTCCATTTGCGCCTTTCATCATTAAAGTTCACTCCTTATTTGCACTTAAAACACCAACAAACATTAGAGTTCTTTTGCGCTTTTCGCCTGTGATAACAATGGTATATATGAGCTCAAGAGAGGCATGGCCTGATTCAAAGGGTCCTCCACCTCCAACAATGAAGTTCAAGGTTTGAGTAACCTAGGGAGCAAAAACTCCTGGGAATGTGGGGGTGGGGGTGTCAGGTTCATATCAAAAAAATAAAAACAATATAAAGGAGATATGTGAACGTGCAAGCATCAAATAAATTGGGACATTAATAGTTCTGATATCTAGTTACTTTTGAATGGCTGCTATCCTAATTGGTGTTTCGAGTTTGCCTGTTAAATTTTCTTGTGAGAGATTGATAGCAAGTCTTGATTAGTAAGAATTAGTTGTTTATTCTTTCTCCTTTTCTCAAGAGTGTGTGAAGAGTGTTTTGATGGATTTATTGGCTTGGGTTGAACTATTCTTGCAGGGGTTTAAAGCTTGGTTTTAAGGAAGAGGCTAGTGCATAACTCATTGTCGTGGTAAATTTGTTGGCTGATTCTTGCTTTGATTGTTCAGAATTTCCATATTAGAACAGGAGTACTAAACATGTTGAATTTCTAGGGATCAACCATTTGAGTGACCTGCTTCTTTTCATATTGGTGACTTGTTCTACGTGAGTTTAGAAGATCCTGAGACTGTATTTTACTTGCAGAGTGCAAGTAAATAACGTGGAGTCTCTGCCTTCGGAATAGGAGTTCAACTCTTATAGTTATACAGTTTCTTGAGTGAAGTACTTTTCTGCTGCTCTTTTCAGTTTAGTATGCAGAGTGGTATTTATTTGGATTAGGATCTTTATTCTTTTGCTTTTGTTCTTATATGGTCAAAGTTGAACATGTTTTACAAGGCTGTCATAATGCCACTATGATGGAAGTTGATTGATTTATAACAAGTGAAACCATTTTGATGTTCTTTGAAATGTGAAACTAAGGGGAACTTTTGTCTATTCTTACTGAAAAACAAGGTAAACAATTTATGTTATTGTGACTTCTTCCTCTACGAAGTGAAAAAATACATTACTTTTACTAAGCTGATTTTACTTTCCCTGCTAACTGCTACAACAACAACATACCCAATGTAATCCCCAATGCAATCCCACTAGTGGGGTTTGGGGAGGTTGGGGTGTACGCAGACCTGACCCCTAGTCCCTACTTGTAAGATAGAGAGGTTGTTTCCGATAGACTTTTCCTGCTAATTGCTATAGTTAAAAAATGCCATGTCGAAAAGTACCTAAGGTTATTGTTGGCATAATGAAGAAAGGTACAAAACTTATCCCCAATAAAGCACTTGAATGGTGGATATGTATTTTAAGAGAGTAACTTGACTGATGTTTTGAGCGATTGAAACAAAAGAATAGGAACTCCAATGGCTACTAAGAGGTAGATTAATGCTAGAAACTAAGGAAAAGGATCTGTTTAGGCCTAGCTAAGGTTGCTTGGATCCTTCAAAAATGTCATCGAGTGTGTCAGATCCTTGAAAGTTACTTGTTTTTTGAGGATCCGATACAGGTGCGGCGACATCAGTATTTCAGAGAATCCGACTAACATAGCTTTTAGGTTCTCATGCGTAAAATATAGGAGGCATCAAGCCAAGACTTACTAGTTTGCTTTTTAAAAAATATTATTATTTGCAGTGGTTTGTGTCTTTACTGTATATTTCAGAGTTGCGTATCACTGCAAACTATTTTGTTCTATCAACGTATGAATGATCAAGAGCTTTCTCAAAGTTACTATTTTCCTTCTATTGTATTTAGGAAAATCTAGTATAAATCCCTGATACACTTGAGCCGGGGCCTCTTTATAGTGTACTTGGACCAAAATGTTAAAGAAGAAAACCATAGGCAACAAGCAAACTTCAGCTTCCTCCTACATTCTTGGGACGTTGTTCTAGTTTATGTTGCTCAGATTCTCCAAAAAAATGCTCACTTGTGTCGGATCCTCCAAAAATGAATTACTTTTGGAGGATCCGGCACACACCTAGCGGCAACATAGGTTCTAATGATGAAACTAGTTGTTCTAATAAGGCATCTGAAGATGCAGATTTTTCTTGGAGATTTCTTCCCTCTCTCTGTGTTTCTGCTGATATCAACACACACTATTTGTCAATATTACTTGCATTTGTCCCGTGACATTATGTGGTTTTATCAGTGATGCTTCTTGACAATTGGGAAGCTACTTCTGCTGAAACTTCTAGGTGATATCATGATCAATTATTTTCTTAAGCTCCCAGCAACATGAAAGAATTATCACGTATGAAGTCGAGAAAGGAGTATAGTGAACAAATTAATGTCTTGGGAGGGGAACCCCAACTCTATAGTTTACATTTTTGTATAGGAAGTTACAGACACATTTGCTAGCTGCATGTGATTGTAACTCTAGAAAATCTTGACTTCGTGCTTCCGAAACAATTGGACTTTGTGTTTACAAGTAGTCCTGTGTTCTCATTAGCTATCTGATCACTCTGTTCAGCCTCCAACAATATAGTCTAACGATTAATGAAGTGAGTGAAAATCATGGGCAAGTACACTTGGCTGATTTATTCCTATTGCCCAAGTATGTGAATTACTAGGTAATCATGCTGGTAGGTACCACATAACTCAATTATATGTGTTATAGATGTCATTTAAAACAGATAGCATGACCAAAAACTATAATAAAGTACAGGTAAAAGACTAAAAAGGTGAATTGTGATTGCAATTTGAATCATTTCAGAAATATTAACTCTAATTGTATTTTCAAGATTAAGAATAATGTAGGCAGTCATGTGTTTGTGGGCAAAACTGAAGCTCTACAAAAAGGACATGATTTTTTCCTCTGCAACCACTTGTTGATGCATTCAGCATGAAATTCATGGCCACATTGAAGTGTGCCAATGTTATCTTCATCTTTATATTCAAGTAGGCAGATAGCACATGCTTCTTGTTCCTCATCATCACCATCTTCGTTGGCGTCTATGTCCATAACACAAGTAACATAACATGTACTTCTTTCGAAATACTCAGACATATCTTGATCCACAAACTCATTAATATCGTTGTCTTGCTCCTCCACCACCTCCTCTTCTTCGTCTTCAATTTCATCACTATAGGTGTCATCAAGAACCGATTGTGTCACTTGAATATTGTAACGAATGTAGTTAGTATTCACTTGCATTCGAGCTGTCCTAGTCCGTCTTCCACTTGTTTGCTGATAGCCTTCATTAAGCAAATGTATATCATACTCCATTCTTGTTTGTACAAACCACCCAGACTCCATTGTTGCTTCCATATTTTCAACTTCAACATTCTCCTCCTCTTCTTCTATAATTTCTTCAAGAATCAACTCATTCACGGCTTCCTCTACCTCTTGCTCGTCTTCTTCCATAATTTCTTCATCCGACAACTCCTCTTCTTCTTCTTCAATTTCATCAACAATTTCACCAAGATTTGAATGTTCTAACTTAATATGAGACATGAAACTATAATCAACTGGAGGCATGAGGTGTTGTAGTCGATTCAAGAGAGCAGCATCAGGTGGCAGTGTACGAGTACAAAAACAGGGAACTTGATCATGTTGAGACATGTTTCTTGAAGTTTTTTTATGGCTGTGTTATGTGTTAGATTACGAGAAAAAAAGAAGTTAAGAATTGGAAATTAATGCAACTGTTGTTAATGTTAGGCATTTATAAGGAAAAAATATTTGTAGGAATTTGATTGGGAAAGGGAAATATTTATAAGAATTTGATTGGGAAAGGCAAGTGGGAATTAGTTTCCTTTTTGTTTCTTTTCTTTTTGCTTTCCGGCTTTCCCCCCAAGTTACTGTAAAAATTGTTACACAAGACTTATAATAACATTTTTCAATTTTATTTAATTAAAATGTAATTTAGAAAATTACAGCACACGATGAAATTTTTATTTTTAATCAGTATAAATGTAGAAAATTACAGCCCACGTTGAAATTTTTAATCAGTATAAATGTAGAAAATTACAGCACACACTCAAATACCAGTCTTAAGAAAAAGAAAAAGGAAGAGGTTATTCACTGGTGTACTCGTACTTAAAATCACGGTGTCATCGAATCACCCAAACCATCCAAAGGCAGTAAAGAATAGTAGAATCTGTTTTGTGCAGAATAAGAAGATGAAACTCCTCTATTTATGAATAACAAAAGATAGTGTGAATAAGTGTTTAATGTGCCTTATCAAAAAAGTCACAACCCTTTAAAAAAGTTAAAAATTATAACTCTTCGCAAAAGTTACAACTTTGTGAAAAAATCACAAGTTTTTATTACTAGTCACAATTCTTCACAAAAATTACAACTTTTTGTACAAGTGACAACTCTTCATTTTTACCTTGTTGCGAATTAAATTTATCATATAAATCGAATTATGTAAATATTTTTTACAGTAACAGCTCATTACCAACTATTTACCCCCTCCCCCCACCACCAAAAAAAAACAATTTTTTTTCTTATCTTACAATATCTGTTTTCTAGCTGTCTCTTCAAAAAGAAAGAGCAAGCCTCTTTCGTTAGGAGTACTAGTAAGTTCTTTTTGAAAAGTCAAAAGGACAATTATTTTAACCAAATTATTAGGCCTAGTCATTAAATAAGAAATTATAAAGTATAGGAATATAGTAATTTCCAAATGTACTTAAAGACAAACTAATTATCTTTTATATATTATAAAAATAAGTACTCCCTCACTTTTCCAGATCCTGGATTTCTAGAAAATTATTAAGTACTAATATTCTTTTAATCACTTGTTTAGTCATATCCCCTCATAATAACATCATTATAATCTTTTACTCACTAATTACATATTAAAAATTCCTCAGTAACCCCTCAATAATGTTCATTTCGCAGTAGTTTAATGTCTGTTCAGATTAGAAATTACTAAAATTATACTAATATCATTTTTTTTAGAAGTCCTTGCTCCTTCCAAAGAGAATCGCTATCTTGTTTTACACCCTGATCTCTGGATACATCTCTCTATATTTCTCCATGAAAATTGGTTCGTTGAAACTGTCAACATTGTAGAAGCGATAAGATTAGGAATGAGGATATTCGGACAAGGTGAGATTTGTTTTTGTGATGGACAAGATGAGAAAAGCGAGATTGAGATGATTTGGTCATGTAATAACTGTTGAGGAGAAGTGTAGAAGTCACTGGTGCGGAAAGTTGGATAACAAGGAGAGGTAAAATGATCGGAGAAGTATTGAAAAGATATTAAGATATGATACAACTCTAGTTTACGTGTAGAGCTTGCGAATAGGATAAAATGATAGAGGATAGTGGAGTGTTGTTTGTTGTAGAAAGTGTATTGCTTTTGATATTTTCTTTTATCATATTTGTTTATTGTGCTTTAATTTCGTACTATATGTTGTGTTGTTGTTATAGTTCTTTTGACTAGTTGCTATGTTTTTTTCACCATCTTGCTTATTTACTTTGCTTTGATGTACTCGAGCCGAGGGTTTTTTAAAAATAATATCTCTACCTTTACGAATCACGAGATAGAGATAAGGTTTATGTAACTCTACACTCTTTAAACCTCACTTGTGGAATTCACTAAAAATATTGTTGTTTTATTTTATATGATACATTTTAACTGAACACAACGTTTAAGGAAAATAAAAAAACTTTTAAAGCTTATATTCTAAAAACAAGTCATCAATATTAATATGACTATAAATAATTCCATAAAAGTATAAAACGAGAAATATAAAATCAAATTGCTTCTAAATAAATAAAAACAGTGAGTCACATTGGGATAGAAGGACTAACTCAAGTCCCGCCATTGCCCATCGTAGCTGACTGAACAGTGGAGGCCGACAAGGTAGGAGAAGACGGTCCACCGCCGGTCTCACCACCGCCGTTGATGGCGGAGCCTCCGCCGAGTAGTAGTGGGTTGTTGGGCTTCATGGAGTGACACGTGGAGGTGGAAATAGCAGTGGCTAAGGAAATTGGCATAAGGCATAGGCCTTTTCCTTGAAGATACTGCATGGCTGATCCCATATCTTCTTCCATTAGCTTAGCTACCTGGTGCTCCGTCATCGTCATGCTGCTGTCATTGTTTGCAGACGACGTCGTTCCATTACTGCCACCCCGACCTCCATTTCCTTGTACACAATCACCTCCTCCCTGCAAAACCAAATTAAGTTATTACTTAATTCCTTAAACAAGTAATTGTAACTATTACAAATCTCTAAATATATATAAATATTTGACTATAAATTCAATTATTATTATTATATATATTAACTTGGAAATTGTTATAGAAATTCATAAAGTTTAAATCCTAAACCCGTCTCTTACTAAGATGAGATGATATGAACATAAAGGCCGATTCAGTTTAGGAATTCTTACAAGGACATCAAGTAATAGTATATAGTTAAATATTTATTGCATTTCTTCATTTGTATATAAGATTTTAATAAAAATTATTAGATTCACGTGAACTCATAATTATACTATAGATCAGTCCTTTTTGGACACCACCACCTTTCTCTAAAGATTTCTAATTGAGCCCGGTAAATGCAAAAAAATGTAATAGGGCCTACTTTCCATTTGAGGGATTCTATATATCACGAATCTGAATTAAATGAAATGGAGAGTAAGAATACCGGGAGATAATAAAATTTTTGAAATATAAAATATGTTTTTTTTTTTTAAACAAAGAAAAATAAAAGGGAAAGCCCTTAGCTTGGAGGTGAAAAATAGGGTGCGGTAACCAAAAAAAGGTGAAGCACGCGTGAGCTTTTTGTGGTTTGTCACATTCTGCTGACAGAGAATTTGAGAAGGACAGATTAGAGTTATTTTATCTGTTCAAGAATTGTTCCCATGCTTTCTCTACTGATCAAACTACTATGCCATTTTCATCCACTGTTGATTTTTCTTTAAATGGAAAGTCTAATAGGTATATTCCTCTACTATGCACTAGCCATTGATTCTATTTCTTATTTCCTTTATTGTACTCCATTAATAACAAATTAAAGTACAGCAAGTGAATGGTTTTTTTTAATTTATTTCTCACATGGTATTATGAGTTTGCTAATTCAAACATTAAATGGAGAATTCTTATTAGCTTTTCATATTTAGGACTCGAACCTATAAATCTGAACTTTGATTAAGGCGAAGAGATCCTACAATTCCAATAGAGGAGACATGCGAAATGACTGAAATTTCAACTAAGGTATGATGTAGTACCTCAGAGGATCTATCAGCAACTAGGGGAGCAACAGCTGCAGCACCACCCAATCTGCTCATACTCAGAACCTAAACACAGAGGAGAAAAAGAAAAATGATAAAAGAGAAGCAGAAACACCATGGAGTTATAGTCTTATAGAAATGGCCAATAGGATTTCTATTACTCTTCTATCAATGGGTGGAAGCACGTTGCTGAGAAAGTTTTTTGTTTTATATATATATATATATTTAAAAAAAATAGCTTGCATATCGAAATATTTGTGTAGTATAACGGAAATGACACCACTTGACCTCAAGAGCCTACATTGGGTCTCACTGGTTAAGGACATCTATTTTATCATTTAGGCCAAGAGCTTGAATTTGGCTCAAGTCATATACTCTATAGAAATTACTATAAGCTTTCCTCCAAATAAAAGTTATTGTAGTTTTGATCCCTCGACTCTGCCCTAAAATGGAGTAGCCTAATAGGAGTATCTAAAATGTTAAGGAAAGTTTTCTCAACGATGATGCTAATTAAGACCGACTTATAGAATCATTTTAATTTATATATATATATATATTCCTTATCATATTTGTGTGTGGGCGTCTATATATTTTAATCTTCTATATAAAATCTTTAACTTCACCAACTATACTATAGACACATTCACAAAACATGTTGGAAATAACTATAACAGCATTTTCCATCCCAATTTGTCAACAGGGAAGCATTGATCTGTTTCCAATTTTTAAGTCCACAGAACAATAAATGTGAAGAGAGAGAGAGTACTTTGACTTGGAGCTGGAGGAACCTGACATAGTCGATGATCTCATCTAACATTGAAGCCTTGTCTGTCTGTATTCCATATAAATCACAATCACGTTAGTTCCTAATATTATATCGTTCGTTTCCCAATAATTATAACAGTTAGCTAATAAAATAATATATCACAATGTCATAAAGCACAATTGTTAATTAGTGTAATAGATGACTCATTATCTAGAAATACAATGTGTGAATTCAGAAGAGTTCGGTTTATGACCATTGCTAATATTTTAATTTTATGATTACAAGAAATCGATAGATAAAATACAAAAAATCAGGACAGAAATTTTTTTCTCAATGCAAATTGTAATTGGTTGTAGGATATTATTTCCTTGCAAAATGTAAGGAAACATGAAAACACTATTGAGTTGGAATCATATATACACTCCACAAACACTTGGGATCTGATATCAACATTTCTATTACTCGATCAGAGTCAGCATCTAAATTAAATACTTTTAACATATAACAAATATTTATATGTGAAAATTCACTAAACTACGATAAATAATAGATTTGTATTCATGATTTAGAACCATAAATATTGAACTTATACACAAACTATCACTAACTAATCGTAGATATAGTATTATACTACATGTGCTTCTAATTTAATAGTATTTGTATCTATCTCTATTTGACTTAATATCACCATTTAACTTTCATTTAGTCGAGAATAATCTATAAATATTAAAAGACGAGATCGAAAGAAAGATTAAAAAAAATACTTATAATAAACAATTGGTCCTTTTGCTAACATGCATCTATAGATTAAATAGATATAGATGTTGAATTACGCCTCATAAATGATTTAACTGACTGTAGCAGCGGATTACGATCACAGCATCTCATTTCGAAGTACTAATATAATCGATTTTTGAATATAGGTGATCATTGAAAAGACAAAAATAGAAAATATTATATCCCATCCATTTTAATAAAAGAACATCATATCCACCTCAATTAATAGTGTTTTAAAAGGCGGGGCGTGAGGCGAGGCGTTTTAATTAGTATAGGACGAGGCGTAAGCCTCGAGACTGGGGTGTAAGCCTTATGAATTTTAAAAATTTTAATTTATAATATAGTATAATAATATAATAACACAAAATTATAAAAATAAATCAATAGTTTGAAATAATTACAAATATGATTAAATAAACTAATAGAAAATAAAAGTTCTAACATGATTATACAAGTATAAATCATCTAATATCTTAACTTTCTAATATAAAAAGAATCATTATTTCAAAAACTATTTTTTATCATACTATATAATTTATTCCCTAAAAGAAAATAATCAATAAAACTTACTAGTATATGAGTAATAAAACATCATTCTACCATGAATAAAAATAAAATTACTAAATATTTGAAAGTAATTTTATTTTTATTCTGGAATGATGTTTTTATTATCATATATTAGTAAGTTTTATTGATTATTTTCTTTTAGGGGTAAATTATATAGTATAATAAAAGATAATTTTAGAAATAATTATTCTTTAATTAATAGAAAGTTAAGATATTAGATTATTTATACTTGTATAATCATGTTAGAAGTTTTATTTTCTATGAGTTTCTTTAATCATGTTTGTAATTATTTCAAACATTGATGTATTTTTATAATTTTGTGTTATTATATTATTATACTATATTGTAAATTGAAAAGTTAAAGATCTATAGGACTTACATCTCACGTCTCGAGGCTTACGCCTCACCCTATACTAAGTAAAACACCCCGCCTTACGCTCTGCCTTTTAAAACACTGATATCATGTATTTACTCCGTATTTGAATTAAGTATTACGTATTATACAAAACTATTGACTTTATGATATTTATAATAAGTTTTTAAAGCAATATTTAATTTTTTAAAATCATAAAGGAATCAAGATGGAATATTAGAAACAAAAAGAATAATTTTTTAATTTATTTTTATATTAGGAGTGAGAAATTACCTTATTGGCATTAGGTACCAGCTCCTGCAAAGACTTCATTCTCTCTGCAATTCTCTCTCTCCGTAACTGCTCACATCCAAAATTTCGGAGCCACAAAACAAAACAAATCAGAAACAACACAAAAATCGCCATCAAATTCTAACTAACTCATCACAACACAACAAAAATCAAAATCACAAAAAAAAAAAACTAAAGTAAAAATAACTGCAATGAACGACGAGTACTGAAGAAACGAGTGCGAGTACGTACTCTTTCAGCAATGCTGTGAGGATCAGTTGCTTGTCCTCTTCGAGCCCTAACTTTCTGTTGCTTTGGCTGCGCTCCACCAGCTGAACCACTCGCCGCCGGCGTTTGATTCATCGTCAACGACGCCGTCGGAGCTCCGAAACTCTGCGCCTATATTTTCACAGAACATAAATCAATCGCCATAACTTATTATACGCAATAAACTTCGATTGAGCAAAAAACTAGATTAGCGAAAAAAGTTATAATATAGATCTCTGTAATTGATACTGAAATATATGAGTTAGTTGATTTATCGTCGAAACTCTGATCCTATATTTTCACAGAACATCGAGCGCCGGTAAATTACTCTGTATAAACTCCGGTTATACATGTATGCAATGCATTCAGAGAAAAGAAAAACAGTATACAATGGAAAGCTGTTTTCGATAAATTAGAAAAACAACTATTATTCCATATGATCTCTGTAACGATTGAAATTTATGAATTAGTGCGTCTATCGAAATTTATATATGCAGACCTGAGAATGGTGAAAATGCTGAGATTGATTTGAGGTTTGACCAAGAGATCCAGCGAATCCATTGTAAAGAGCTTGAACTGAAATATCATTCCCCTGTATATAATCAATTCTTCATCAATCTACTATAATTCAGATAATTATAATCATAAACTTGGTTAAACTGTCACTCAATTGAGTTTTTGGTAATTAATTCGTCATTAATCTACTAAATTGATTGATTAATCACTATACTGAACTGAATTTTATGGTAAATGAAACTCACCGGATTTAAACCGTCGTCGTTTTGATCGCCGTTCATCCCAGAGCCGCCATTACCGGCGATTCCTCTAGAAAGCAAAAGCTGCTGCTGAAGCATCAACGCTTTAGCAGCTGCGGCAGCAGAGCTGCCGCCGTTGATCTGATGCTGCCGGAGCTTGGAAGCCAAGAGAGTTGACTGATGGTCGTCGAAATTGTAGGGGTGACCGTCGCCGGAGATTTCAGGCCAGGGAGAAGAAGAAGGAACAGAAGAGAGAATCTGTTGGAGGAAGTCGTCGTGTGACGACGACGGATCGAAATGGGAATGACTGATGTGTTCGCCGGACGAAGCACCATTTTCGCCGGTGCTTTGAAATGAGTTCATAGCTTGCATTGTTTTTTTCTTCTTCTACCTCATGAGTTTGGTGCTGAAATGTTGTTTATATAGGTTGCAACCCACCCCACCCCCACACCCTCAAGGTCCCAAAACCCTACCATTAATAACAGATTGGCATATTTTTAGAGAGTAATAAAAAAAAGTTTTATCCAAATTTCTAATAATTTGTGTTCGGTCAGTTTAATTGTACCTCAATTAATTTTATGAGTGATTGCTCTTTTTCACTGATACATATATCGGGTATTCGATAACTCTATATATCCCTAATATTTAAATTGATGTTAGCAATTTTCAAGAACAATAACTATCAAGTAACGTAAAATGAGATAATTTTATCTTAAACTTTTAGAATAATAAATAATTTGAGATAATTGTTTTTGTGACGGTAGTATAGAACTAAGCTATACTTATACAATTAGGGGTTGTTTGGTTTGAAATGGATAAAATTCAGGATTATTTTATCATGCGTTTGGTTGGAGGTATTAGGCAGTTTTGGAATTATTTGTCCCATATTTTTATATCGATGGGGTAAGTTATCTCATATATGATAGTATATACCTGATGGAATAACTTTATCCCAGATTAGTTTAACCCGAAATAATTAATTTCAAAATAACTTATTCCCAACCAAACGATAAGCATGAGTCCAATCCTTTGGCCCGACTTGCATCTTATTACTAATTTGTGTATTTGAATTAAGAGATTATAATTCAAATGCATATTACGAGTTATGAGTACTATTACCTTCGTCCACTTTTATTTGTCATGTTGCATTTTTCAAAAGTCAATTGGACTAATTTTCAAAGTTAAATTAGATTACATTAATTTGATATTTTGCAAAAAAATTAGATATTCAAAAACCATTAAAAAAAAAACTATAAATTACAATTTTTTGCATATCAATATGATGAAAAAATACATGTTAAAATATTAGTCAAAATTTTTATCGTTTGACTATATAAAAGAAAACCATGACAATTAAAAATGGACCGAGGAAGTTATTAATAACTTTTTGACTATTATTGTCGAATGATTTATCCATCCTATAATCTTGGAAATGCAAGAAAAAGAAGTTAAGTTGGTAAACTATATTTAGAACTTCTAATATAGTTGAACGAAATTGAATAAGTCCTTCGTTCATTCATTTTACTTGTCATATTTTAATTTGTAAATATTTTTTAAGAAGATATGTTAATTAGAGTGTAATTTAACTAAATTATCCTTGTTTACCACTCATCTTTACTTAATATTTCTCCTTTTTGCATCATATTAATATCTCTCCATATTTATGATTAAAGGTAAAAGTGGAAACAAACAACTAATTATACCTTAACGTTTTGAAATAACAACTATTTTGAATCATTTAAGGACGACAAGTAAAACTAAACAGAAAAACAATGTAAGTACTAACTAAAAATAGGTTATTATTCGGGGCGTGTTTGATACGGAGGAAAATATTTTTTAGACTTTTCAAAAATTTAGGAAAATAGTTTTCTAAGTGAAAAATGCAGAGAACAAATTTCATTGTTAATATTACACATTAATTATATCCTTCCCACCGTCCAACACATCTCACGGGATCGAGATATTTCAAGAAGTTATAGATATTGAAAATAGTGTAATGAACAATTGAGCGATCGACACATGCAAATGTGCATAGCTATGAGGTTGAACTTTCTTGTAATGTCTCCCACTAGGCCTATAGCTGTCAAAAAAAGATAATATACAAAATTAAAATAAATATAGAAAATTAGAAAAGTATTAAGAGAATGTTATAGATAGTTGCAGAAAATAGTTCAAGAATTTTTAAACAACAAAAAATGGGGTAGAGATGGGGAAAAAGTAAGACAACAAAGTTGTTTTTCCACAATAACTAATAAAATAATTTTAGTCAACTCTTTTACTGTATTTTCTAGAGAAACAAACAGTTAAATAGAAATAAAATAAGAAATTTAAAGTATTATATGCCGAATATCCTTCATAAGAGAATAATAAAGATTTTGAGCAAGTTCGACTTGCTATTATGATCCATAAAACTTTCTTTCTTTTTCACTTGGTATCTGCTTTGGGCTCCAAAATTTAAAGTTTTCTCCTTATTTTTGGTATTTGTTTTTGTCTCAAATCAAAATCGAGACGTCGGGATTAAGAGCTTAGAAATCCTATCCATATCACTTCCATCATTATTTTGGGTGGTCGTGAATTTCAATTAAACTAAGTTTATAATATAGTGTTTGGTAGCTGTATTATCCCCATTTCATATGATAAATAACTAATTTGTTTTTCCATAATGTATTTTAATTTGGTAAGAAGCATTAGCCAGACATAGAAGTAGGTAGTTGAAGCTAAACCTTTTATTTATTGAATGATTTTTCTCACCCATAAGAATGACTAAGTTGATGCAACATATAATATTTTATAGTGAAGGTCAGGAATTGATTCCTTCTGTCAACACCTTTTCAGTCGAACTCGTCACATCAAAGTATAATTTATATCCTCTATAATATGGGTTGTGAGTCATTACACAAAAGTGAATATACATAGTGCACGAATTTTTTCGAGTTTCAAAAAAAATAATCCTAAGTAATAAAAAGATATATGAGATTTGGTTTCAGCCTAAAAGTAGATAAACGTACTGATTGGCCTTACATGTTTGGTATAAGTGCACTCCATGTCGTATTTTATTATTCTGATTTTTCTAAGACACGTTGTTATCACTTATCACCAATCCAACTTAATTAATTAGGTCTAATAAAAAGTAGGTCTGTTTGTATAATTGAATAATACTATAGCCGAAGCTTATGACACGTATTTTCTACTTTGGCCTAGAAGATCAAGAATTTGTCATTCAAGCTACACCAACATCAAATCCAAAACAGGCATACCATAATGATTATTTCCTTATTTTTAGGACTAGAGCAATAAAGGTAGAGATTAAATAACAACAAACGCAGTATAATCCCACGAATCAAGTCTGAAAAAGCTAGGAAGTACGCAAACCTTACTGCCTTTGTTGGGGGTGGGGGGGTTGTTTCTAGTAGACCCTCGACTCAATATCTTACTTCCTAGTGAAAAAAGATATCTCAAGATCCTCATGATATCATCTTCAATAATAAACCAACCTTGTCTAAAGAATTTCAAAATTAAATTCAATACTTCTAACTTAACTTAGCAAAGTTACAACAAAGACAGATAACCTATTTTTGCATCGGTTTATCGAGGCAAAACCACGATTTTGTACAGCAAGTAAAGAGAGTTGTCTAGTTTTGAGATTCTGCTTCTTCCTTCCTCTTTATCAATTTGATAAAATTGTGAACTATTGTCTTGCCTTCACTTGTGATGATGCTTTCCGGATGGAATTGTACCCCCTGAATTAACCAAGCAAGAAGCAAACAAGTAATCAAGTTCAAGTCGAGTAAGTGCAAAGATACTCGATTTTGGGGACAATATTTAAGTTATGCCTTACGTTTATAAAATTTTGCACGTCCACCTACTAAACAACTTTAGATTTGCAGTGTCTGAAATGAGTCTTAACAAATCCTAACTTTTGACAATGTTTGAAGTTTCATATGGCTAAGTTTAGGCATTTTAGCATGAAGGTCAAGGGCTTTTGCATGTGGATGAAGGATTGCCTGAAGTTCATGCACATGAAACTAAGTTCAACCATTTTTGCTTGAACTTTAACTTAAAGACATTTTGTTTGAAATAACGCATGTCAGAAGTTGGTCCTAAGTGAGTAGATGTGTAAAAAATTCTAAAAACTGGGTATAGATTAAATAGAAGCGTCCAAATAGGGTACCCCGTGAAATTTTTACTGTTCAAGTATACAATTTTCTTTCAACAAGTATAATGTTGCAAATCCAGAGTTAAGTCTGAACAAACTTATCGATAACTTTCTTCCTTTATTAGTTCATATCACCATTAAAAAATCTTCTAAATAAGAATCTCTCCACCAGGTCAGATAGATAGCTCAATGCAATGAATCCATAGCGGAATGATAACAACGCTAACTTTGTTCATAAAGGATGGAGATTTTTACCTGTATGTGTCTATAAACTTTGTGACGAGCAGCCATTACAAGACCATCTTCTGTCCATGCAGTTATCTCAAGGGCGTCTTTGGGGAAAGTGTCCTTGTCTATTACCAGGCTGTGGTATCTACCAGCTGTGAATGGGCTGAAATGAAAAAGGTATTACCAAAATGTCAACATAAATACGACTGAGTATTTGGAATATTACATAGATTAAACAACCTGCGATGGATCTCTATAATTGTCTTCTATGTTCTCACTAATAGACGTGCTCCAACTAGAGTATTTCGACTTCCATAACTTATTATTAGTCTTACCATGATAATCATAGGGCGATGAAGAGTTCTACCTATACTAAGATAGTAGTAGTGGCACCAATATTTGCTAGACTTAACAATTAACATATACAAGGTAGAAGTAAAACTCAACTGAAGTAATTAAGGTGGGTGGAAGTGAATGAGGAGTTGATGAGAAAAAAGATATATTACAAGCATATATGTGAGGGAAGATCCCAGCAAATTGAAACTGCGCATGACAAGATTCTTTTGCCAAACATAGGCAGAGCTAGAGTTATAGCTACAGGTTCGGCAGAACCCGCTAACTTTGGCCAAAATGATGTATTTGTATTAAGAAATCCCCTCCTCAAGATAGGAATAAAGTTTGTGTACACTCTACCCTCCCCAGACCCCACTTATGGGACTATGTTGGTTTGTTGTTGTTGCACTAAGAAACCCATTCAATATGTACAAATAATTTATCAAGAATGCAGTAAGTTATCCTTTTCTAAAATCTAGAACACAAAATCAAAATTCTGGTCTACCTATGTTGCCACATATGTCAAAGATTTTTCGTCAATATTGCTTAAGACAAACACTAAATAGTAAACGCAGAAAAAACTTGCACGTATGTGAGACCATAACACTACAGAGAGCAGGCAGAGATACATGCTTAATTGAATAAATTAGCCTACGTAAAT